GACCTGAATAGGCACTACCTCCCCAACAAGCATTTTGTAGAAGTCAATTAACTAAGTCGGAGTGCATCTGCCTCAGAGGTAAGGAACCAGAGTCTGCACACAAGCATGATCTGTCAAATGCATGTGCATGCAATACTACTTATTTTCTGGAAAAAATTATAAGCCCAGAAGTGGATGAACAACCAGACCTTTCTGCCAGAGTTTAAAACTGGTGAGCCCTAAAAAAGAATAACAAAAAAGATTACATGAATGTCACAGCCGAGTATGTACAGTTACCTCATGTTTGTTACTTGTAATTTTTTTGCAGTCTTTGAAGTATGACACAAACTACTTCATTGAGTATTTTGCTCTGGACCTCATCATGGAGGATGGGGAGTGTCGGGGTGTGATAGCTCTCAGCTTAGAAGATGGCACCATTCACAGGTTCCACAGCAAGAACACAATCATTGCTACCGGGTGAGTGGCACAGTTCATTTACTCGATTAACAAATGACCAGATTATCATCATCATCATTTCATTCCATGGTTTACAGATAACTGGCGGAGTAGTAAAGAACCTTTTTCAATCCCAATGGTGCATTGCGCATAAGGTGCTGGATTTTGGTATAAGTTAACTGAGCTACAGCTTAGGGCCTCACAATCTGTTGGTGCCTCCAATAATTCATTTTGTACCCACAAATGCAATTTTTTTTAAAAACATATTTTGAAAAAAAATTCCCCAGAAATTTTCTGGTTTTATTATTATTATTTTATGTATATTATCTCCAGTTTTGATTTATTCTAACTAGTACTACATTTAAATTGAATAAAGTAATTAGGCCTCATATGCATCAACTGTGTCATTTAAAACGGTAGGGGCCTCAGGGCTGTTTGTAGTCTCATCAAGTCTAAATGCGGCCCTGGATGCTAGACTCATATTCTCAGTCGGATCGGTATTGGTATGTGGAATAAAACATATTACTCCATTATATTTAAATATTTCTTTCACATATTTCTCAGAAACAAGCAGATTTTGCTTTTCCATTGTCTTATTTGTGCTGAGCACCTTGAAATCTGCAAGCAGTGACTTTTTTCTTGGTGCCAACGACGTTCGTCAAATAATGTTGTCCACTTTAATCAGTCTTCTTCTTCTTCTTTCGTTCGCCTGAAATAAGTTGTCTATATCAGCAGTTTTGTCTCTTGTATAAATTTCACTGTCGTTGTTAGTTCATTCAGTGGTCCCTAGAGTTAACGTTCCACTGTTGTTCTTTCTGGCCAAAAGGTTTGCCTTAATGTGTCAAATTCGGTGCAGTCCTGGAGTACATGCTCTGCTGTCTGGGGCACATTTCCACAGGTGCACATGGCTGATACACCTATCTTGAATTTTGTGTACATGTGGTTACGTAATCGGTTGTGCCCTGTTCTGAGGCGGAGGATAATGACTTGTTCTGGTCTGTCCATAATAAAAGTAGTGGTCTTGTGCTGGGGCTGGTGGTTTCCTGATCGATTTAATGATCCTTTTCTTTTGGTGGTATGTGACTGGTACATCCACTTTAATCAGTAACAACCACTGCTCTGTTCCTAGCAACATGTTCAAGTGTGGAAATACAGTGTGCTTTCCACTCTTTCATGTAACAGTCTAGAACTTTATGTGCTTTCCTCTTCATTTGTCCTCAGCTGTCTTCAGGAAGATTCACTTTGATGATGTGTTTGCAGGTATTTATTTATCCTCTTTATCAACAAGGCTTTTTGATGAGATTGACAAATCATCCACCAGGTCCAATGACTGCAGTCAAACCACTGATCTGCTATTCCAGATCGGACCCCCTGGAGAGAGGATTATAATTTTGCCAATGCTCATCCAGACAGAAGTGAAAGGATTATTTGACAAGGAAGAATAAAACAATGTGCAACATAAAACAGCCACCCTTGGTCTACCTGATGATGAATACCTACAAGATCTTTGGGTTCCTGTATACATGGATGGGTCAGCACAGAACACAAGCAGAAATAGAGGAGCAGGGATTTATATTGAGCATCCAAATAATACCAGATTTAGAGCCAAAATACCTACAGGAAAGCACTGTCACAACTATGATGCTGAAGTTCTAGCCTTCAAAATAGTAGCAGAGAAACTGCTAAATATATGTCATATTTCACAATCAGTGGTATTCTTGACAGATGCACACTCCAGTCTGGAAAATTACATTACTCTCCAAACTAGACAACCAGTGTAGGGTAACTATGCAATGGATACCATCCCTCTGTGGCATTCTCGGAGATGAAGCTGATAAACTAGCTAAGGGAAGTGCAAATGAAGAACAGCCCGACTTAACAGTCTCTTGTCAACAGAAGAAGAGAATAATCAAATGAATCAGAAAGCCACCAAAACTAACACAAGACGATTACAATATTACGGACAAACCAGAGCAAGTTATTATTCCACACTTTAGAACAGGACACAGTCGACTTTGATGCATTGTACACAGAATTTAAGATTGGCGAATCAGCCATGTGAACATATGGATTAGAGTCTGAGACAACAGATCACGTCCTCCAAGACTGTCCCAAATACAACATATCAAGGCACAATTTTTGGCCAACAAAAACACCAGTACAAGCCAAACTTTACGGGTCGCTGAGTGAATTACAAAAGACTGAAGTTCATGCTAGAGACAACATTGCAGATATAGATCATCTATTTCATACAAATAAAAAGGAGAAGAAATAATCTCTTTCAGCTGATAAACTATGGCATGTCTTTCAGAGTCCTGTCCTTTGGGGTTTATTGGGAGTTTATTGAAAGATATTTTATATCATTGTTGTATAAATTAACTGCAGTGGCATTGTTGTTTGTTCACTTACTCCTGCGACCGTAGACACTGAGGTAAGGAAACTGATAGATCCACATTCAGACCCAGAAGATATCATCATCTACACAGATGGATCCGTGAAGAGCGGATCAAGGTCAGCATGGGCATACACAGCACAAAGAATGGGGAAAACAATACAGAAGGACAGCGGCGCTTACCAGACAACCACGTCAAGCATGACCATGGAAGTTACCACTGATTCTAAAGCATTATCATGGTATCTTAGCAAACTTCCACACAGGCAGTAATTGTATCAGATTCCGTGAATATGCTTCAGAAGATAGCAACAGGCGGTAAGCGCTCTGAATGGGTAGAAAGCATTCGAAAATTGCACTTAACCTCCCTCACATCTGGTCATGCGGGCGTAAAGGGAAATGAGCGAGCGGACCAACTGGCAAGCATTGCACTAAGGCAGATGGGAAGAAGCATGGACACAGCAGATATCGTCAATGCTGTACGGACTGGGCTAGTGGATAATGAGGAATCCTTGACACTAACACAAATGTGCATTTAACCTCCCTCACCTGGATCTACACACCTCGTCATGCGGGCGTAAAGGGAAATGAGCGAGCGGACCAACTAGCAGGCATTGCACTAAGGCATATGGGAAGAAGCATGGACAGCAGATATCATCAACGCTGTACGGACTAGGCTAGTGGATAATTAGGAATCCTTGACACTAACACGATTGCGTGACATAGAAGTAAAGCATAGTGAAGCACATCTATGCCATCTTTGAGGCCGAGATAGAAGACAATGTAACCAGCTTCTAATGGGAACAATTAGTAGAAGTACTTTGGAGTGGCTGCTGCATGGGAGGACTGAAAATGCATGAGAATGCCCAATGTGCAGTGATGTCGATCGTGATAACATAACATAACATCACTTACTCTAAACAAAACACGTGTAAGTTCAGTCTTCAGCAGAAGCAAGATTTTTTCTTTTCTACCATTGTGGCTTTGGGGTTGATCCAGTATCATTTAAACGGGTTCCAGCCCATTTTCTTTCTTCTTTATTCTTCTTTTGTCAATGTCTGCTTATGCTGGGCGTTAAGACGATCTGCATCTGAACCGGCGCGCGCAGATTCGCTTGGTATGCTGTGATGTTATACAGTCTCAGGGTTTCAGTGACTCCATTTTCTTGGTCTTCCCTTGCCTCTTAGTGTTTTGAGGTTCTTAATTTATAACGTACCCCAAACACGAAATCCCCGTGGGAAATCCACAGCTGACCTGACAGTCCATTATTTCAAGGGGTGGAAGTGTGCTGTTGTGTGGTGTTTTTTTTTAAGTGTTTATCTAGTGTCTTCTAATGCTAACCCTAACCCCAACCCCAACCCTAACCCTAAACTTGGCTGTAGATAAATCGCGAGAAACTACAACCTGAACACCCTAGAATTTATTGGGAATGTCTCCAGTGACGTTGTCGTGACGTCAGGAGTAAGTTATAAATTAAGAACCGTGTTTTGATTTTCAGGTTGGACTCTCTTGCTGCTTGCATCGTTGATTTCATTTTCATTAGGTGACCACATTTCTAGAATTTCTTAAGCAGTGACCAGAAAGGAATGGTGATAAGGAGGTTAGCTGACCATCTCCCCACACTTGTCAGGGCCTAGAATGTGTGAAGGTCTGTCACTTACATCCCAGTCAGTGACAGTGTATGCTATGTGGCTGCCTTTACTTTATTAATTCTTCGTCTTTCTTCTGCCTTTCTAGCCCCCAATGGAGTATAGGCCCTCAACCAACTCACGCCAAGTTCTTTTATCCTTTGCTATCGCATGCAGCTCTCCCCATGTCCTCCCCATTTTTCTAACTTCATTCTCCAGCTCCCTTCTCCATGTGTTTTTTGGCCTTCCTTTATTCATATGCCCCTGTGGGTTCCAATGCAAAGACATTCTAGTTATATTTTTCTTCAGTTTTCTCAATGTGTGTCCTATCCAATGCCAGCATCTTTTCTTCACCTCTTGGTCCACTGGAGCTTGCTTGATTCTCTCCTAAAGCATAATTCCCTCTATTCTGCGCAGGCACCAGTTAATGAATGGCTATAGTTATTTATTAATGAAGTTTATTTTGGTTTTTGGTTCCTATTGGGGTAATAAGGGTGTCCCCTATTTCTGTGTTTATTACTAAAGTCAGTATTTTGGGTTGCCAGAGGTTATGGCCGAACATACTTCTCCTGCACATCAGCACACACCTGCACTGGTGACGGGACAGCAATGGTTAACAGAGCTGGTCTTGCCAATGAAGATATGGAGTTTATTCAGTTCCACCCTACAGGTTGGTTTTATGTTGTTGAGAACAATAAAAAAGTGGTTGTTTTTGAATGATCTGTGACTGTTGTAAAAACTTTTGTTACTGTGATTGTAAAGACAGTTACAGGCTATTGGCTGAAGAATTGTTATATTGCTAATTCTACCTAGATTATGACTGTTGAGCTAAAGGTTGTTCTTATCCATAAGTTTTTGTTGTTGCTGTCAGTTATTTTTGCTGACTGCTATTGACTTTTGAGTTGAAGGCCTACCGGAGCATTGTTCTGTTGTAACATCAGTCCACTAATGTACAGCACAACACAGTGGTGACACAGCCAAGATCCCTGTGTGGGGACCGGAGCCCTATTGTGGAAAAACAAGAAAAGACCCACTGCCTCCCAAACAAGCAAGTTGTAGGAGTCGACTTATTGGGAGCTTTACTTGGGGGAATTCACTTAACTGACGTATCTCCGATTGACACATTTTCATCTGACCAGTAGAGTATCTGTCGGCTCTGTGGCTAAGTCGATGCAAACGCGCCGGGATGCCGGGTTCGATCCCAGCTGCGGGTCATGCACCTTGCATTGGTTCCGACAGTGGTATCAAGAAAGCCGACCGTCCAGATAGCAATGGCAAACTACTGGACGTAAATTTGCCTCGAAAAACCACACAACAGCCAGGGGCTGTTGGGGTTGGTTCTGCAACGTCATGTAAAGGATACACAACTAACCTAGTAGAGTATCTGACACATGTAAGCCAATACAGTGAATTGACCTGATCACAAAGAAATGAATCATCATCATCATCAGGTGCCTTGCCGACTGGCGTGGGCGATCATGCCTCTCCATAATCTGCGATCATGAATATGTTTGCCAAAAAAACAATAATGTCTTTGAAGGAATATAGATGAGGAAGTAAAGTGGCTACCTTCAGCTCATAATGATGTGCCTAAGAAATTGTGTAGGCTTAACACTTCATATGTTGGTGTGTTTCAGGGGCTTATCAGGAAAGCAGGAAATAGTAGTTAAGTAATTTTGTCATAAGAGGCAGCTACGAACAACTGGCTAAACCTTGCAGTAGAAAACATTCCAGCAAAAATCAAAACTGTCAAGAAGTCTACAAAGAAGAAGTGTCTGTGTTTGTGTGTGTGTGTGGGGTTGAGAGCCTGTGCTCCATTGAGGGTTGATAGACAGAAAAAGACACCGCACCCCATTCCCCGTGTGGGTTCCAGGGCCCCATTGTGGGGAAAACAAGAATAGACCCACTGCCTGACCAAAAGCATGTCATAAGAGTTGTCTAAATGGGAGCTTTCCTCAAAGTAGTACATCTGCCTGAAAGGAAAAGAACCAACAGTCTGCATGAAAATGAGTTAGACCTGTGAATCAAATGTACACACAACACTCAGTTTCTGGAACCGGACTAGAGTCCGGAAGTGGATGAATAACCAGAACTTTCCGGCAAAGTTTAAAGCTGGTGAACTCGAAGAAGAAGACCACATCCCATCAGCAGTATTGGTCATCATAATACTGTTTGTTTTATGAATGTATGTGACAGGTATCTATGGAGCAGGATGTCTGATTACCGAAGGATGTCGAGGAGAAGGTGGCTTCCTAGTCAACTCAGAGGGAGAGAGGTACATGGAGAGGTATGCTCCAAATGCTAAAGATCTGGCTTCCAGGGATGTTGTCTCCAGGGCCAGCACAATTGAAATCAGAGAAGGAAGGTAAGAAGATTAGCTCATGTACATCTTCTAGTTCCTTCATCTTCTTGTTCATCAACTTCCGAACTTTAATCTTGTTCCAGAAGTTGAGTTTTGCATGCACTTTACAAATCTGGCTTATGTGTATGCAGGCTGTTGGTTCCTTGCCTGTCGGACACACGCACCCCAACTTTGAAAGAAACAGCCCTAATTAATGCTTTAACAAATACTTGTTACGGGAGCAGGAAGCCTGCCCCCTCCCCCCCCCCCCTCCCTTTCCACCCCCATTTTGACACAGCTGTGAAATTTATTTCATTTCTGGTGTAGATGCGACAATTTTCATTTTAGTTATTTTATATGAACATTTCTATTGTATTTGTTTGTAATCGTCAGCATAGAATTCAGATATATATATTTATATATAGTTTTATAGTTTTTTATAGTTTTTTCCAATCCGTTATATATATATATATTTATATTTATATATATATATATATTTATATTTATATATATATATATAACGGATTGGAAAAAACTATATATATATATATTTATATATATATAACGGATTGGAAAAAACTATAGCAGAAGGCATGGTACCAGGAAGGAGGGGCAGAGGCCGACCAACACGAAGATGGGCACAGGATATAAGTGACTCCTTGAGTATGAAAGTATATGAGGCAGGAGAACTGGAGAGAGACCGAATTTCTTTCAGGCAGACTGTGATGAGAGCGACGTTCTGCAAAGGACCTGCTACATGATGATATATATATATATATATATTTATGGCTAACAGGAAAAAAATGTATGCTCAAAAAATCTAAATTGATTAAAAATCATATCTCTGTGGTGACTGTGAGAGGTATTTTTGCCATGTTGAACATGATGGAGCATACAATGTCCAGAAAATTTGGCAGAGGCAGACCTATGCAAAAGTGGATAGAAGACATTGAAGATAAATTTGCTATGAAAGCACACAGGGCTTGAGAATTGGCTAGAGAGATGGAAACTTTCAGGACTGCTCATTGATGATGTCTGTGATGGTCATGACTGCTGATGATTGTAGGTGAGAGGAGGAAAGATGGATGTCTAGATACTGAGTACAGATGCATATCTTTTGTGGTTTCCAGAGGTGTTGGCAAGGACAAGGACCATGTTTTCCTCCAGCTGCACCATTTGGACCCTGAGGTTTTGCACACACGGTTGCCAGGTAAGTGATGCTGCGCTAGGAAATTGAAGTTGACTGAGTAAGTGTTGTAAAGTCTTCAGGGAAATAATTGTAGGTAATAGCTACTGTTCGTATATTTATATTCAGGTCATTTCATATTTAAAAATCCACAGTTCACTCTTGTTCATTGTTACTTTCAAAAGGGTCATTGGCATGTTGTGTTGTGGTTTACAGCTAGGCTGCGATGTCAGTGTCTTTCAGCACAATACATCTTATTTCAGCAAACTCTTAGTTAGTTTCCTTTTATGACATGCTTATTAAAGATCAGAGAATCTGTTCTCCCCCCCCCCCCCTTTCCCCCCAATTGGGCTCCAGGACTCACACAGGGTAGAGTTCACTTCAGGTTCTGGTGCAGAAACTCAGAGTTTCCAGTTTTCATCTTCACTGAGACGTTCATCCTGAATTCTTTACTGTACGGCTGTGAGGTCGATCAAACTTTAATAGAAATGGGTACCTGACAATTTTTGGAGAAGGAAAAATAGCCAGGAAAGAGCTGGCCACACTTAACCCATATCTCATGACCTGACATAATATTTCTTATTAGTGTTCTGTGGAACGGTGATAAGGCCTCAGAAATATCATTTTTGACACACAAAATCTGTAGTTTTAGAATTGCGTCCTGTCTTCCCCTATGTGTGTGTGCGTGTGCGCCTGCATGCAGTTCTCATATTTATGAATTATAATTTCCTTAGTATAAAAATTTTTGTTGCTGCCGGCTGTAAACTCTGGCGGAAAGTTCTGGTTGTTTCTCCTCTTCTGGTTTTTGGTCTTGTTCCAGAACTGGAGATTTGCATGCACATCAGTTTTACAGCTCTGTTTTATTTGTATTCAGATTTTATTTGTATTGTTGGTTTCTGGCCTCTCAGGCAGATGCTCTCAGACTTCGAAGGAATCATGCCTAATTTATCGACTTTTATATCATGCTTGTTAGGGGGCAGTAGATGTATTTTCTCTTTCCCCCCCCCCCCCCCCCCTATTGGGGCATCAGAACCCCCAAGTGTAGGTATGACTATTTAAACTCATGTTGTCTACGGCAGAACTTAGGGTGAGGGAGTGGGGAGGTCGTAGGTCCTAGCTAATTGAGTACCACGGAGCCAGCAGATGTGAAGGCCTGACACTTGGCACTACAGTCGCAGTGTCTGCTGCAACTGCCTTTACTTTCCCTCTTTGCCCGTGGAACTGCAGTTGAATGACTTTATCAGTAATGTTGTGTGGGTTGTAGTCTGATGAGTTGAGAATGTTTTGTTTTACATAGGTATCTCAGAGACAGCCATGATCTTTGCTGGAGTCGATGTGACTCGGGAGCCTATACCAGTCCTTCCTACAGTACACTACAACATGGGCGGTATCCCCACAAACTACAAGGGTCAGGTCAGTCGCAGCTCTCAGATCATCATCATGTTATGAGAATGAATGAATGCATGAATCAAGAATTGACATAACTCGAGACATTGCCACACGTGCTCCATCTCAGTAACCAAGGAAGTATTGACATGCTAAAAGTGCCAGTGCAACATGATTAAAAGTCCACCTCTGTTTTCCCTTCAGTGTTGAATATCTTCCAGAACATCTACACAACTGCCTGTTGAATTAGTCCTCCAGTGTATGGATTCCCTGTTTATTCTTTTGCACTGTCCATTTGATCCTGTAGAGCCTTCACCACATCCGTTTTATCATATAGTAGCTCACCACCCACAGGAGCGGCAGCAGCTAATCTATCAGTCTGCTTGTTACCTTGAATGTCCTGGACAGAAAATCCATATGCTCTTTATCTGGGTCTTCAAAGTGATGCAAGCCACTCTGCACGCAGGACACCAGTTAAGAGTTTTCAGAATCTTGCTTTGGAGTCTGTTACAATTACAACATATTGGGCCTTGCTGCTCTCAAGCCATCGGAACACTGCTCTGACTGCCTCCACCTCCATTCTCACACTGGATGTAGCGACATTTTACACAAGGCTCTCTGTTTTCAAGCACCGTCCATTCACCTTTGCAATAAAACCCCACCCACTTTTCTTGCCTCTCACTCCAAGCCCATCTTTATATATTATGATGTTGTGAGTCTTTTGCAGAATGTTATCTCATCATAGCAGCCAGTGAGAAAGACTTCACTGTTTTTCCTACCTCCTGTATTTATGTGTCAAGGATGTTCCACTGGTAGTTGAAGTGGCCAAAGTATTTTTTAGTCTCAGCTGTGATACTGTGTTTTGCTGTTCACATCTGGTAGAATGTCAGTATTTAAAGAATTGCCTTTGATGCAAAATACTTGAAGATTTTTTCTTCAGATTTCTAAATTGTTAACTGAAGATTGTTTTCTTTAGATGTCTAAATTGTCAACCTTTGTCTTTGTGAAAAGCTATAAATAATCTTCTTCACCTTCTTAGGCTGTAAATGCCAGTGGAAAGTTCTGGTTGTTCGTTCACTCCTGGTGAACATAACATGATGGTCTTATGAATTTTCATGTGCACATCAATTTTGCAGATCTGCCTTATTTGTATGCAGACTGTTTGTTTCTCGCCTCTCAAACAGTTGCAGTCCGACTTCAAAGGAAACGCCCATAATTAGTTAACTCTTATGGCTGCTTATTGGGAACAGTGGGTCTGTCCCCCCACCCCCTCCCCCAACCCCTGTCAACATGGAGAGTGGGGAGGCACAGTTTACAGGCCATTGGATAGCAGTGGCTATTGTCATTCTGTATTGATGTAAAAGGTCTTTAATGCTTTAATGTTATCCATCCATTTTCTCCTGGGGTGACCTTTTGCTTTCATGTCCGATCTTTTCATATGTAGTGGCTGTGTTAGTAGCTGCTGCGTTCTAATGAGATGACCAAACCATCTGATCTTCTGTTGTTCAGTGAATTTGGTTCATGGTGTTGTTCCCACAGACTGTCTGATTATATTTTTCACTTTGTCTCGGATATTTAAATTGGCAGTTTTCCCAGCATCTCATTTCACAAGTGTTAATTTTACTTAAATTAGCCTTAAATAGTATCCACGTTTGACACTAGTAGCACGGTGTTGATATAAAAATGCTGTTTATAATCTGTTTCTTGGCTGCCATACTTATGTTTGGATGTCTTAATGACGATGTAATTTGGAAAATAAGTGCACTGGCTCATTGGCATCTTGTTTCTGTTTTCCGATCTATTCTCCTGCTGTCCTCTTAAAGTATACTTCCTAGAGAGAGAGATGTATTCTGCAGTCCTCCAGAACTATACTTTTAAACATGGTGGTAAAGGAGCAAGAAGAAGAGATAAAAACCTGGATAATATAGCCACATTACCTTAGTGATCTGATCTGTTGTGATTGTGTGCCCGTAGCCGCCCAGCCCTCTTGGTATGTGTGATGATGCTTCCAGCAATTTGTTAGCCACTGTCGTATGGCAGTTTTGTCGCGCACCTTACTTACAGGATATTTTCACAAATCCCTCAGGTGCTCTGAGACAGGAGTGTTTTGAATGGTGGCTCTAGTTCGTCTATAGGCCTAACCCTCGGTTCAAACTTTCCATTCAACCTGTCTCAGGGATGAGGTGACACGAGCTCTGACTCCACAGGGTTATTATGAACACTTGGGTACCTCTCGGCCTGACGTCCTCACCACTGATTGCCCCCAGACTGGAACAATGCAAGTCCAGTCGAACAAATATTCAACAGTGAATTTGACAAGACAACAATGCCTCTCTGAATGAGACAATGAATTTCAGTAACACGAAACTTTTCTACCAACTAGAAGACTGATGAACTATAATACAGTTGTAATTAATTTACTATAACAAAGCTAATGAAAAGCATCGTGAAGAATTAAAAAGGAACTGTCAAAACTTTGAAAATCTAACACAAGAGAAAGAGTTCTTCTAAATAGATATATAGACTATCTTGTTCATCACGGCGGAGGAGAAGACTTGACCACTAAGGCCCATTTGGAGTCGAGTTATCAAATGTCAGCTACTTCAACTTATCTGATCAGATCTCGTAGCTCCTCAGGGTGTCAGAATGGAGTTACACGCCACCGTACTTTACTGCACGGCTCCACAGGAACGAATCAGCTTCTCAGGATGCCGGAAAGGAAATTCGCACTGCCGTACTTCCCAGTACGACTTTACAGAAATGAATCAGCTTCTGGCATTGATCAAGGACCGTCAACTCACTTCACCAGAACGAATCAGCTTCTGGCGTTGATCCAGGGTAATCAACTCACTATCGAAAGACGTCGATGCAAGTATCGTCCTCACATTAAGCACAGCGATTCAGCACACGTAAATCGCTTACTGGGTGGTGGCAGTTGGAACCACACAACCATACACGGACACTTGTTGGATCTTCAGAAATCCTGAAAAACGTAAAGCAACAGACGTGAGCGAACCGTACTCAACGCACCTATTTAATCAAGGTCTTTACTTCCTCCAAATGCTCAGATATAATTAAGGTTATTCCAAACCATGAAGGTTGGTTACCTCTATCTTAGAATCCCTTTAGTTTCCTAGTGTGAGCACTAGATCATGAACTCGAATAGTTCCTGGATTCAGTTCTGTAGCTAAGGTTAGACAGATCTCCATTAGTTACCCTTCCTTCTAACGTACCCTTTCCACTAATAGGGAAATTAAGGGATAGGCGATGAAGTCAAAACCAAGACCGACTGAAATATGTTCTGAAAACAATACGACAGTCGAAGCTTGTTGTGGTTACGAAGTCACCTAGCAACAGAGGATATGACGTCATGCCTGCCCAGAAGCTTCTTGTCATAAACAAAAGTTCAGCGACTTACCAAGTTCTTATGCCAAATAACAGCAAATAACTAATAATACAAAGTTATCAATACCACAAACCCACTCCAGATATGTAGATTGATTGATTTGAAGAGGTTTAAAAGGCCATTTCGAAGCAATCTGCGAGAAATGTCAGCCGAAAGTGCATTCCGATCCGGAGCTCCCTTCGCCGTCTTCCTTCGCAAGAATCGTAGGCAAACAGATTCGCATTATCCAACTGCTGACCTTACTTACCTACATCACAGACACTATGAGCACAAATATTCAATTAAAAGTCCCTATGAAACTCACCCATGATAAATGAAAAAGAGAATACAGAATCTTGTCTTTTTAACGGTCAATTGGCGAGACCCAAGGACAGCGACCGCCTCCAAGACCGGACTATAGAGAAGTGACGCACACAAACACGTCCCCTAACTACAGCAGTTAGCGTACCAATCCCGCTCACTAATGCAGTGCAGTGGTCAGACAATTTATTTAGAATAGGCGTAGAAAATGTGTCCTAATGTGTAATTCGACACTAAAAGCCTAAAAGAGTCAATATCATAGGGATTTATAGAGATTTTACCTATCAGGACTCCCCCACAACAAACGAACTATATAACTATGCTTGGCCTATACTAGTTCATAGTTACGATGACGAGTTTGGGGGTGTTCAGCCTGTGGACCTCCCTACTGCGGCAGATGTGTGGATGCTGTCATGCGACAGCCACCTTGCTTAGTGTACCCTGGGTATAGACCCATTGTTTCTTGACAGGCATGTGGTAAAAGGTGTAAACAACAACACATCATGTTAACTGCCCTTTTCAAGGTGAACACTGATGTAGAAGTTAGCCACCCACTCTAGTACATATCTGTGTACAGGAGCCTGTCTTCCTTTTGTAAAGATGATGGAATGGAAGTCTTTACTCCTTTAGTACTGGGTCTCTCTTGTACTTACTTTTGCTCATGCACAATCGAGGCAGACTGTTGTCTAGGGGTTCAGATCCAGAGTTGACGAGGCAGACTTATCTTCCAACAGACTACCACACTTCTGTAAATGACAGTTGATAATGGTTCTCAGTTCTAAGTTTATTCACTGTCTTTCAGTATCATATCAGCGACAAACATCAACATAACAACCTCACTTACACCATTCAGACAAGGTTCACTTGCTCACACCTTTTGGTATACAGCCATGCCACAGTCGACACGGACCTGCAAATGGTCAGCACAATCAACAGTCAGTAGGGCACTTGCATTGTCCTTAGATACATTTCAACGTGGCTTTCCTACAACCACTTCATTTCACTCAGGATCGACTTTCACTAAAAACTCTCTGAGGTCCTGTCACAGAATGCCTCACTAGTCAGTGATTCCCCCAGACTTCATGTTCACACGTAAGTTACAATCTCAAGTTTTACCATTTACACATTAATCTCATCTCTCTCACTCTAGGGACTTCTCCAATTCTGTAAGTCAGTCAACCCTTCACGTCACACCTATTTATGGCATCACCACAGTCTGATATCTCTGCTTCTCCTTGTTGATTTTATTTGACCATTCTGCTGTCTTAATAGTTATGTCCTGCAGTCTTGGCTAGTTACTCTATTTGTTGGTGTATAAGATACCCCTGTGTAAAAATCAAATCCCCTTTTTTAGCCCAAAATTAAGAAATGTGCATTTTAATCAAATTTCCATGTTTTAACAGACACCCCCACCCCTCCCCCACCCCTCGATTTAAAACTTGAAAATGTGGGAAAACGTATCATGTTACACTTGTAAAAATACTGTAAGTAATGTCTTTTTTTTTAAAACACAGTATAGCTTGCTGAAATCATCATGTATAAAATACTAAACAATTTAAAAAGGAAAGTTTAATGATTTTATAAAAATAATATGTTGGCTTTTTCAGGTGATTCGTTATACAAAGGACAAAGGTGATGAGGTAGTTCCTGGCTTGTATGCTGCAGGTGAATCTGCGTGTGCCAGCGTTCATGGAGCCAACCGCCTGGGAGCCAACTCTCTGCTGGATCTGGTTGTGTTTGGCCGTGCTTGTGCCAACACAGTCGCAGAGGAGAACACTCCAGGGGAGAAGATAGGACCAATCAGACAAGTATGTTTCTATGGTTTTATTCCAGCCTAGCATTGACTTCCTGATTACTTGGCTAGTTAGTTAGCTAGCTAGCTGGTTAGTTATTTAGTTATTTAGTTATTTAGTTAGCTAGTTAGTTAGTTAGTTATGAAGGGTTCCAGAACAGACAGGAAACTATGGCGGTAGGACTAGATCTCGAGGATGCTTATAACAGAGTGAGATACGACATCTTAATGACTGCATTGAAGGAGAAGGAGGTCAGTCCATGGCTGGTGAATTGGGTTGCAGCTGTCCTGTATTCAAGTCGGGTTGCTCTCCGACTGGGATCATGGACCTCAGAACCATGCACTTTGGCCCTAGGACTGCCACAGGGATCCGCCATCTTGCCTGTGCTCTTTAGCGTGAATACGAGCAAGATTGCAAGCCTAGAAGCACCAGGAGTTGGAAGGATACTGACTTTTGCGGATGATATACTTGCATATAGGCAGGGAGAAGAGAGGGAACAAACAGCTCGGGAGCTACAATCGACAGTAGACAAAGTGACTGAGTGGTGTACAGAATTGAGGGCTGTCGTCTACCTGGAAAAGGTGTCTGTTTTGTGGTGTTCTCTGGACAACAGAATCGTTAAAACTAATGTCCCAAGTCTCACGATAGATGGTAGAGACGTCAACAGAGAGAGCAAACTGAAGTATCTGGGAATTACATTTGACAGAAGCCTGTCATTTAAGGACCATGTGGAGAATTTTGACGAGATGCCATAAAGGATTTAGTGCACTTAAGACTTTGGCTGCAATTGACATAGAGCAGAGAATGCTTTTCACACTATATCAGCACCTGATCCTGTCAGTGGTATATTATGGCCTGGGACTTCTTACCGTCTCAAAGAGTCAGATGGACACAGTAGAGCGCATACAGAACGTGGCTATGCGGCTCATTCTGGGTTGCACCAGAGACACCCCAGTGGTGTGTATGTGATTCATTCTTGGTTTGCCGAAGGTTGCAGGTAGGCACAAGGTGCTGCAGGTGAAGTCATATCTCAGGGTAGCTGCAGACACAGACCACCCTCTGCATGAAGCTCTGGGTGCAGTTAAGGGTCAGCGGCTGATAAGAGGGAGGTCATGGATGGCTCAGGCAGAAGACACAGTCAGAGAACCTTGAGAACATTAGGCGAGGAGAGAAGTGGGTCAAAGTGCCACCTGAACAGTCAGACTTGTGAAGAGTCATAATCACGCTGAGCCGAGAATGCAGAGACTAGCCAGCAGGTGCCACAGAGGTGGAAATTCAGCAATTAATTCAAGATAATGCTCGCTCAGAAGATTTGATCATTTACACAGACGGTTCAGTGTTAAGAGGCAAAAGAAGTGCTTGGGGATTCTTAGCAAAAGTTCATAGTCAACATTTGGTGCAGGAGAGCCTAGCATATGATGCCACAACATCCAGCTTAAGAATGGAGGCGGAGGCGGTCACTGTAGCTTTCCGCTGGCTAGAGAACATGACACACACACACATCGTGGTTGTAACTGATTCAGAAAGCATGCTGAGGAAGATCAGAACATGTATGCTTCGTGCAGAGTGGCATGCTTCGCTGCGGAGGACGCGAGTGAGGAGTATTGTCTGGATTTTTTCACCGGGTTATGCCGGTGTGTTGGGAAATGAACAGGCGGACAGACTGGCTGGCTCTGCACAACTTGGTGGAATACTGATACATGATAAGGCAGACGTGGTTACTTTGCTGGCTGCTGTAGATGAGGACGGAGCGCTTATGGAAATGCCCCGAGTGCTGTGATGTCGGTTCTTGAATCAAATCAAATCACATCAAATCATTAGTTAGCTAGCTAGCCAGTCAGTCGGTCAAGGTTCCAAAATCAGTGCAGTGTTGCCCCATAACTGTTCCATTGAAAATCACACAAAATGTCCTTCACTATCTGGTCTAAAATCCTGTGAAAAACTTGCACATACAATGTACAAATTCACAAGGCAGTTGTCGGATGTGCCAACACCAAAAGTGTCAGTGAGATTGAGAATATTCAAGTGAAAGTATCTAAGGGGGCAGTTGATTACTGAAATATTATGTGGAAACTTCAGAGGTGGGGTTTTACAGATAAATGATGACAGCACCATGGGCACAAGATGTCTGCACAGAAATTAACTTGCAAAGGGGATTGATTACCTGCATCAGAGAGATCTGCATTCTGTGTTAAACTGTGCTGGAACATCTTGTGTATTCTTCTGTTAGGAAATTTAGATAAGTGAATGCTAACTAGTGTTGTCTGTGTCCATTAGAATGCAGGAGAAGAATCGGTTGCTAATCTGGATCGTCTGAGGTATGCAGATGGGAAAACTACAACTGCAGAACTGAGACTTCAGATGCAGAAGGTAAACCACTGTTCATCGCTGATTTGTTCACTAACTTCATTATGTGGCTTCCTGGGCCCTGTTTTTTTTAGGGGTAAGAAAAGAGGAATGGGCCCACTGCCAACAGTAACAAGCATGTTGTTAAAGATGACTAATCAAGGTTGTTTCCTTTACAGTCAGCCTGCATCTGCCTGCCAGACCCGGACCAGCATTCTATGTAGAAATAAGTCAGACATGTAAAACAGATGTGCACACAAAGCTGTATTTTCTGAAACTACACTAAAGTCCAGAAGTGGATGAACAGCCAGAACTTTCCGTTAGAGTTTACAGCCGGTGAACGCTAAGAAGAAGAAGAGTTCATCAACTGTTTGGTCATCATCATCACCCTGTAGAGAAGTCTTTGAACATTCTTTTAAATCAAATGATTTGTGAGTCTTACACAGATATTATGTACAAGGCACTGACCTTTGTGCCCAAGGAGGTACTAAACTCACTGTACTGCACCTCCTCTACACGAGGTACAAAGTGGGATCTGATGCTCTTCTTCTAAAATGGCTACAAAACTTAATATGAGGCACATTTTCTGAAAAAGTACAAAACTTTAAAAACACGCAGGCGAGCGATCTGCAACTGAGTGTATCAGTTCGTGTGTTGACACCCCTCCATGCCATGGCAAAAGACTCAAGAATCTTCTCACTCTGTCTTCCTCTGTCTCTCTTTTCAGTGATAACATCATGTTCCAGTTTCCCTCTTCTCATAACATAACCACACAAACATGAGTGTGTTTCTGATGTTTGGGATAAGTTGTCTTCGTGCACTCTCCTCTTTCAAAACATCTGGATTGCTTTTCTTAGCTGTCCAAGGAATTCTAAGAATTCTTCTGTAAAATCACATCTCCGAGGCCTCAAGATATTATTCAACTGTTTATTAATTGTCCAGGCTTCAAGGCTGTATGTTAAAACTGGCTCTATATGCTTTCTCTAAAGGAGTTTAAAAAAAAAAAAAAAACAACACTTGATGTGGTGCACCTCCCTTGTCGATATGTAGAAATTGCTCATGACAACAAAAACTTCTGTGTGTATTTTTGTTATATAATTAGTTTACAATTTTAAAATTTTTGTTCGTTATTTGTGGTTAAACTGAAATAATCTTAGTCTGATAGATTATTAAAAGTACAATATTGCTTGATCCTTCTTGGGGACACCCTAGAACAAAACCACTGGTCTAGTCATTGCACTGCAGTGAATCTGTGTAAAATAGTATGGGGGAAGGGGTAGGGAGGTACACTACGCTCAGTGTTGGGGCTTACGTCATGCCACCTCTCTGCCTATGTTTTTGTTATTGGTTGAGGTGGTGTCAATTTGATGTGACCTGTTCTGTTTTTGTATGTTACTTCAGACCATGCAGACTCATGCAGGAGTGTTCCGTGATGGGCCCAGTCTGAAGGAGGGATGTGACAAAATGGCCACAGTCTACCAGGGCATGGATGACTTAAAGGTAAGGAATGTCCACCGAGAAGCACAAATGGTCCAGATTTCTGAGGTTATGAGATCAGAGCGTCCCCTGTGGTTTCCAAAGCCTCATTTTGGAGGGAACAATAAATAAATCCACTGCTCCCTAACAATTGGTTAGTTGCGTATCCTTTACAGGACGTTGCAGAACCAACCCCAACAGCCCTTGGCTGGCTGTTGTGTGGTTTTTCTAGGTAAATTTACGTCCAGTAGTTTGCCATTGCTTTCTGGACGGTCGGCTTTCTTGATACCACTGTTGAAACCAACGCAAGGCGCATGACCCGCAGCTGGAATCGAACCCAGCATCCCGGCCTAACGAAGCGTTCGCATCGACTTAGCCACAGAGCCGACGCTCTCTAACAAGCATGCTGTAAATGTCGACCAGTTAGGGGGGTTTCCTTCAAAGCTGTAGTGCATCTGCCTGAGAGGCGAGGAACCAACAGTCTGCATATAAATAAGCCAGATCTATAAAATGGATGTGTGTAAAAAACTCTTTAAGTTCTTATTGAGAGGAGGACCAACAACCAGATCGTTCCTCCGGAGTTTGTAGCGGGTCAACACTAAAAAAAAAGATCAGAGCAGGATTGCATGTATTAATCCTCTTGTCGCGAGAAAGTAGTTATTCCGGCTTTTACAGGTTTATGTTTACATCATGTCTTTGGACAGTGCCCACTACGCCTGTGTGACAGCTTTGATACTCGGTGCAGCATGCAGACGTGATGTGTATTATTGTATTTATATTTAAAAAATATATTTTGATATTATTTTTGGTGAAAATTTGATTTTAACACATTGTAGATTTATTGTGACCTCATTTAATTTAATTTTTACATTACATTGCTCTTTGTGGCAGAGTGACAAAAAATACTTTTAAAAGGTAAAAGAGGAGAAAATCAGGTAATTCTTGGCCCCGTTTATGTTTAGTGATTACTTCTTTTCACTTCAAAATGAAAATTACCCTGTTTTAGACATTTACTGCCTGGAAATGATTTTTTTTTTTTTTTTAGTGATTTGACATCATGAAAGAAACAGAGGTCCTCATGCTTGTCTGTCTTCTCGGTGGTCTAGAGGCCGACCTCTGTCTTTTCGGCAGTCTAGAGGCCGACCTCTGTCTTCTCGGTGGTCTAGAGGCCGACCTCTTGTCTTCTCGGTGGTCTAGAGGCCGACCTCTTGTCTTTTAGGTGGTCTAGAGGCCGACCTCTGTCTTCTCGGTGGTCTAGAGGCTGACCTCTGTCTTCTAGGTGGTCTAGAGGCTGACCTCTGTCTTCTAGGTGGTCTAGAGGCCGACCTCTTGTCTTCTCGGTGGTCTAGAGGCTGACCTCTTGTCTTCTAGGTGGTCTAGAGGCCGACCTCTGTCTTCTCGGTGGTCTAGAGGCTGACCTCTGTCTTCTAGGTGGTCTAGAGGCCGACCTCTGTCTTCTCGGTGGTCTAGAGGCCGACCTCTTGTCTTCTCGGTGGTCTAGAGGCTGACCTCTTGTCTTCTAGGTGGTCTAGAGGCTGACCTCTGTCTTCTAGGTGGTCTAGAGGCTGACCTCTGTCTTCTCGGTGGTCTAGAGGCCGACCTCTGTCTTCTAGGTGGTCTAGAGGCTGACCTCTGTCTTCTAGGTGGTCTAGAGGCCGACCTCTTGTCTTCTCGGCAGACTCAAAATTTCTTCTGCTACTTCCTTCTTTTCTTCTAGTTTCATAGGATAGACTTTCAGAGAATTTTAAGGATGCATAAAAATTTTTTTTTTGGGGGGTGGTGGAGGGGGGAGGGAGGGTGTAATGATGTTATAAATAGGGATAACGTCAGGGGATGATTGGCATAATTGGGGAAGTCCCTGAGAGCATGGGTTTCACGGAGATATGGTGAAACGACAGGAAATAGTGAGTCACGTGTGAATGGTGAGATCTGGGGGATTGAGAATCAGGCGGTCATTCTGTGACTGGGCCCCAGACTGGAAGAAAGTGCATCTGAAGCTGTGAAGATGAATGGAGAATGACGAGAGCATGTGGATCTGAATCGGCGACGAATGAATGATCGTGAAGGCCAGCTGTTATGTTACCCTGTTTGTTTGTTGAAGCCAGCCGTGAATATGTCAACGTCCATTGTCCGAATGCTGTAAGTGGATTCTCCTGTGATTCGTGTATTGTGCTACAGTGATAATAAACTCGTGAAATGTGCCGCTGGTGTCAGCCGTTGTTAGAAGTCGTGTGACCGTGAAGAGAGATCATGTCTGCTTTGATTGTGCTGTGAACCTCTAGACATCAGAGCCAGTGTTAACTCTGCACCAGAGATATCCAGTGTGGAGGAGACAATAGTGCAGTCATTACAGAGGGGGGGTGGGGGGAAGAGCTACAGGTTTTCATCAGAGTGATATGTGAAGTGCATGTGTTCTTTGCTGGCTGCTGAAGATGAGGATGGAGCATGTATGAGAACTGTCCTGGGTGCTGTGATGTCAGTTCTCAGGATCAGGCCTTCTCTGGGTCAAGACATATCTAAACATGTGTGCAAGTATCTCAGACACAGATTCCCAACCGCGGACCGGCCAACATTGGTAGGATCAACATTTGCTTCAGAGCTGGAGTGCAGCGGCCTGAGAAGGGAGGAGCCAGATATAAGCCGTATCTGTGATACTGATGTGCAGACAACACTCAATTCTTAGAACAAGACCAAAGTCTAGCAGGGTCCAATGGTGCTTTCTGAAAATCCTACCCCAAACGGGAAATCCACAGGTCACGGGACAAATATTTCAGGGGGTGGTAGGTAGGCTGCATGCAGTCATGGAACCTAGGCTGCACTCTCTCATGGAATATAATTGGGTTAGGGTTAGGGCCAGTTCTAGATGTTTTGGGGTTGTTAAAAGCATCAGATAGCAGGGAAACCCAGTCTTACCACCCTTGAAAATGTTGGACTGTCCTGTGGCATCATCTGGGCGTAGGGTATTACTAAAGAACCGGGACATATAGCCAACACTTTCTGCCAGACTTTACAGCCAGTGAACGTGAAGAAGAGGAGGAAGAGAAAAGAAATGAAATGAATCTAATATTCCCAAAATTTGTGAGAGCATTGAACAAGTCAGACCAGGTTACCAGAATTGAAAAATGACAATTGATAACTAGTGCTGCAAAACTGATTGACAAAACAGTCAATCAGATTTTCTACAACAGAAAAGAATGTTGTCCTGATAGGTTTCATACCTGTTCACATACAAACTGTTCACATACAAACTGTTCACATATAAACTTCACAAAAAAACTGTTCACATACAAACTGTTCACATATAAACTGAAGCAAAGAAGGGTAAATGGCTGTTGACAGTTGCTCAGAAGTGCTAGCCATAAAAGCATTTTAACAACTATAGTGACAGCTCTTGAGACTTCAGTTCACCACGATAACCCTCACTTAACAGTTTTAAGTGCCTCATAACTGCCTTTTTTCAGTTTAGGCAGGGGGTCTTTGAGCCAGAGGATTTAGGGCTAATGCTGTCGCCACGGATCATGTAGGGATTTTTTGGGGGCCCTAGACAGAAAAAATCCATAACCTTATCGAGCTAGGGTTCGAACGTTGGTCTCCTGGCATATATATATATATATATATATATATATATATATATATATATATATATATATATAAGTGCTTGCTGTAATATCAAGCTTGCTTGTCATTTTGAGTAATTATCTTCTTGTTCAGGTGACCGACCGCGGTCTCATTTGGAACTCAGACCTCGTTGAGACACTGGAGCTGCAGAATTTGATGATCAATGCTGTACAGACGATTGTCAGTGCCGAATCTCGCAAGGAGAGCAGAGGAGCTCATAGCAGGGAGGATTTCCGTGTAAGTACTTCATTCATTGCTGGCACATACCCACTACATTCAGTTAGTTAAAAACGCGGAAACAGTTTTGTATTCTTCACAGCTTTCTTTTCAGCTTTAGTGTGTTATTCATTAATTTATTAATTTACTGTGATTGGACATGTAAAGGCACCTTTTTTTTTGGTCTATTGTAATTGTTCCTGTAAAGCAACCTTTGTCTTTTGTAATTGGACATATAAGACACCTTTGTCTATTGTAATTTGACCTATAGTAATTGTACTTGTAAAGACATCTTTGGTTGTTTATAATAATTGTACCTGTAAAGACAACATTGTTTGTCTTTTATAATTTGACCTGTAAAGATCACCTTGATTTCACATTTATCTGTATGTTGTAATTGTACCTGTATAGCTGGCATATACCTTGTTTTTCCTGACTTTGCTATTAAGTTTAAAATATTGCAGCTTGTGCGGTGGTGCACAAGTTGGTGCACTGGTTACATTGTTTAAATTTCACACAAGTAAACTTGAAATTGTTTAGGGCAGTGTTTCCAAAACTTTTTTTGGTGGCGGCGTCTTTTTTAAATTACATTTTTTCCACGACACCCTAACCTAAGTAAAAGTATGTCTATTCATGTCTTGGTTAAATTAATTATGAAGCTTTTGCAATATTTCGCGGCGCCCCTGTAAAGACGTCGCAGCCTCCCGGGCGCCACGCCGCACAGTTTGGGAATCACTGGTTTAGGGTAATTTGTTTGATTTGAGGTTTTCGAAATTAGCTTCTGTGTTTAGCTTTGACATTGCTTTGTTATTTTAGGTTTTATAGAATAAAATTTCAATTATTTGGACTTCAGTGTTTTTTCTTTGTTTTGATTCTGTGCTTAACCTAGTTACGTTTCTTTTTTTAGCAAATGTTTTTATTTTGCTTTTATTTTATTTGGGATGTAGAATATGGATCACTTGAATTTGTTAGGGCTTTATGGTTTTTTTTAGGGCTTTGATAGTTGGCTTCTGTGGCTTTGGCGACATGCTTCGTAATTCCACATTGTCAGGTTTGATTCCAGCTGCAGTTGACTTGGCAGCAGACCGCCCTGCATTTGTTTCAACATTAGTATCAAATGCCGTTTGTTCAGATGCAGTGGCAAACTACTGAACGTAAAAGTGCCCAATGCTGCGGCTGGTTCTGCATCGTTGCGTGAAGGATACATAACTAACTTTTGTTGTTTAAATGGGTTGGTCTGATTTGTTTTGTGTTTTGCAGAAACGTGTTGATGAGTACGACTTCACCAAGCCATTAGAGGGCCAGACAAAGCTGCCCATAGAACAGCACTGGAGGAAGCATACTTTATCTTACGTGGACCCCAAGACTGGAAAAGTAAGATTGTCTGTTGTCACATGTTTACCTGTGGCTATTTGTGAATTTTAGTGTTGTCGGTTATGGCTGTTTGAATCTTCTTCTTCTTCGCGTTCACCGGCTGTAAACTCTGGTGGAAAGTTCTGGTTGTTCGTCCACTTCTGGACTGCAGTCTGTTCCAGAACCTGAGTGTTCACGTGTGCATCTGTTTTACAGATCTGACTCATTTGTATGCACCCGCCTCTCAGGCAGATGCACTCCGACTTCAAAGGAAGCTCCCTCTGAGTCGGCTCTTACGACATGCTCTTGGGTAGGCAGTGGGTCTTTTCTTGTTTTCCTATAATAGGGCCCCAGAACACACACGGGGAGCTGTTTGAATGATAACATAGTTGTTGGATGCTTATGTGAACTGGAGCTGTTTAACACTATAAGAGTAGACTTTTATGCCTGACTGATGCTGTTGGAATGGGAGTTTGGAGTTAAAAAACAAATTCAGCAGACAAGATCTGAAGTGCTGAGTTTGTTTGCCAGAGTTGACAGATATATTTTAGAGCTAGCTGCCATGTATAATGGTCTGTGACTGTTTAATACAATATTCACATCTAACCTCTGTATGTAAAAGCCACCCAGTGGATGTGATCCTACCTCTGTTCTAATTAGGCCTTTTAATGTTTTTCAGGAAAGATAAAATAATGTTGCACATCTTTATATGCTTACAGGTAACACTTGACTACCGCCCAGTTATTGACACAACACTCAGCCAGGAGGAGTGTCCACAGGTGCCTCCAGCTATCAGGAGCTACTGAATATCAGTAAGTGCAGTCTATGACTGTGTTTTTCTGTGTACAGCAGTCGCACAATCGGGCATATGATGCTAGACTTTGTGGACCATCTGGCACTCAATGGCTGATGTGGTTAACGTCACGAAGGCCACCTTTACCTCCCAGGACATAACCTGGTACCCATTTTAGGCTGGGTTGACCTGGGAGCCAAGGTCAGTCAAAAAACAAACAGTCGGCCTTGATGCAGATTTAAACATAAGATCTTTGGGCCAATTGGTGAACCTCTAGCTGCGGTGCTGTTCATCATCCTTAAGTGCCTTGCCACAATCTGCCATCTTCAGCAGCATGTATCAGTTAGTGGGTTCCACCCCCCCTCCCCCCCTCCCCCCCCCCCCCCACCCGCTAGGACAACTGGCTGTCAGGAATCATCTTGCATTGTCTTCCTCGGTCTCTTTTTTTTCATAGATCTTTTCAGTTGTCGCAACACTTTAATATGGAAATAGTAAAAGGACATACTTTGAAATTAGTGTGAACGTTACCATTTTCTGCATAGTTATCTTTTACAGTGATATGCTTGTCTCATTTCTTCTCCGCTTCCCTTATTGTCCTCCTGAGTGTAAGGCTCTCACTTCTGGTGCAGACCATGACGTCATCTCAGTAATCAAGTCCAGGGCACGTAAACAATAGCACCCATGGAATGGATTCTTCATGTCTGGAAATGGAAAGGGGCAAGACCATACACTTATAAAGGAAAAAGCTACTCCAGGGTTGTAATGTGGTTTATACTGTATTGACCTGCCATCACCTGTCTGTGGTTTAATAATCAGCGGTTGCAGAATTGTGCTTCACTGAGGCCAGTTTGACTTTATAAAAGGGCAACATGTTTTCACGTGAATTCGTGGTAGAAAAGTAAAGAGCTGGTCCCTCAGATCAGTCGAGGAGAAGAATGGTTTAAGATATCGAAAGGCAGAGAAGAGCTGCTTAAAATGGTAATTACCTTGGGACGGGAATGCAGAGAATGGGCAGCTTGACCTGCAGACACAGAGGTTCACCGGCACATAGAGGTCAACTGTAGACCAGGAGTTGTGATTATATACACTGGATCTTTGGCCAGTGCCAGAAAGCGGTTGGGGCTTCATTTGCAAAAGCATGGTTGAAAAGGTTGAATGAGGAGATTTTGGTATGCAACATCACCACATCCACCACGAGAATAGAGGTTGAGGCGGTTTCTGCAGTTTTCCAGTAGGTAGAGAAAATCTCAGTCACTCATGCTGTCATAGTATGGGATTTGCAAAAGATGAGGAGGAAGGTGGAGTCAGGTTTTCTTTGTATGGAATGGGTTGCATCAGTCCAGGAGTTGCAGGTGATGAGACTCACATAGTTATTTTGCCCAAGGCATGTAGGTGTGTTTGGGAATGAGCAGGCAGATAGATTGGCTGGACTGGCTCCATTTGGGGATGTACTGCCACTCTAGAAGGCAGAGGTGATCTCTGGCCTGTAGGGCGAGGTAACATGTCAAATGGAAAATATTGAAAACCCGTACCCAATGATGCAGTGGGGAGTGTCTACGGGCTGTGGGCACCACTCGAGACTCGGGAGGAAAGGCAAGACTATTAGTTAACCTGATGATAATGGGTACCACTCGAGACTCGGGAGGAAAGGCAAGACTATTAGTTAACCTGATGATAATGGGTACCACTCGAGACTCGGGAGGAAAGGCAAGACTATTAGTTAACCTGATGATAATGGGTACCACTCGAGACTCGGGAGGAAAGGCAAGACTATTAGTTAACCTGATGATAATGGGTACTATAAGTAAGGAAACTTCTGGCTGTTGAGGAGGGGGATAGTGCTGTTTCTGAATGTTATGATGTCGATGATGTGACCAGATGGTTACCCCAGATTTTGTGATGTTTTATATGTGACGGCGTATCACTTCCTTTCATTTGGAAGTATATTCTGTGATGTATTATATGTGACGGCATATCACTTCCTTTCATTTGGAAGTATATTCTGTGATGTATTATATGTGACGGCGTATCACTTCCTTTCATTTGGAAGTATATTCTGTGATGTATTATATGTGACGGCGTATCACTTCCTTTCATTTGGAAGTATATTCTGTGATGTATTATATGTGACGGCGTATCACTTCCTTTCATTTGGAAGTATATTCTGTGATGTATTATATGTGACGGCATATCACTTCCTTTCATTTGGAAGTATATTCTGTGATGTATTATATGTGACGGCGTATCACTTCCTTTCATTTGGAAGTATATTCTGTGATGTATTATATGTGACGGCATATCACTTCCTTTCATTTGGAAGTATATTCTGTGATGTATTATATGTGACGGCGTATCACTTCCTTTCATTTGGAAGTATATTCTGTGATGTATTATATGTGACGGCGTATCACTTCCTTTCATTTGGAAGTATATTCTGTGATGTATTATATGTGACGGCATATCACTTCCTTTCATTTGGAAGTATATTCTGTGATGTATTATATGTGACGGCGTATCACTTCCTTTCATTTGGAAGTATATTCTGTGATGTATTATATGTGACGGCGTATCACTTCCTTTCATTTGGAAGTATATTCTGTGATGTATTATATGTGACGGCGTATCACTTCCTTTCATTTGGAAGTATATTCTGTGATGTATTATATGTGACGGCGTATCACTTCCTTTCATTTGGAAGTATATTCTGTGATGTATTATATGTGACGGCGTATCACTTCCTTTCATTTGGAAGTATATTCTGTGATGTATTATATGTGACGGCATATCACTTCCTTTCATTTGGAAGTATATTCTGTGATGTATTATATGTGACGGCGTATCACTTCCTTTCATTTGGAAGTATATTCTGTGATGTATTATATGTGACGGCGTATCACTTCCTTTCATTTGGAAGTATATTCTGTGATGTATTATATGTGACGGCGTATCACTTCCTTTCATTTGGAAGTATATTCTGTGATGTATTATATGTGACGGCGTATCACTTCCTTTCATTTGGAAGTATATTCTGTGATGTATTATATGTGACGGCGTATCACTTCCTTTCATTTGGAAGTATATTCTGTGATGTATTATATGTGACGGCATATCACTTCCTTTCGTATGGAAGTATATTCTGTGATGTATTATATGTGACGGCGTATCACTTCCTTTCATTTGGAAGTATATTCTGTGATGTATTATATGTGACGGCGTATCACTTCCTTTCATTTGGAAGTATATTCTGTGATGTATTATATGTGACGGCGTATCACTTCCTTTCATTTGGAAGTATATTCTGTGATGTATTATATGTGACGGCGTATCACTTCCTTTCATTTGGAAGTATATTCTGTGATGTATTATATGTGACGGCATATCACTTCCTTTCGTATGGAAGTATATTCTGTGATGTATTATATGTGACGGCGTATCACTTCCTTTCATTTGGAAGTATATTCTGTGATGTATTATATGTGACGGCATATCACTTCCTTTCGTATGGAAGTATATTCTGTGATGTTTTATATGTGACGGCGTATCACTTCCTTTCATTTGGAAGTATATTCTGTGATGTATTATATGTGACGGCGTATCACTTCCTTTCATTTGGAAGTATATTCTGTTGATTGTTCTGACCTGTTATTACAGTAGAAATCTGAGTCGAGCTGAATAGTGAGCTGACAGAGATTGTCTCCCTTCTCTCGCCTTATGTTCACTGTTGTCTCTTATTAGGCCATCAGAACTTTGGAATTTTTTTGATTCATTAAGTTAGTCAGCCTGAAGACTGGTGTTTGAAGTTGTTAGTCACATTGTAGTAGATCAGTTCTAATCTGCTAATCAGTAATGTGTCTAGACTGTCTTATTTGTGGGATCTACTGAATTGGAATCTTATCTAAAGACCAATAAAATACACACTCATGTGTATTAAAAGAAGACAGTAAAAGATAGAAGTAATGCAGAACAGGAATGGAAGTAATTACATGCAGAAAATAAATGAAAGAGTTGAGGATCATTGGTTTAGGACTATTGTTGAATGAGAGGTAGAAGATATACCCTCCCACATGAAAGGAAACTGAAATGCATTCATAAAATATTTTTTTTTAACAGTGAGGAGAAGCAACAACTGGATTGATACATTTTCTGCATTATTCATAAAACGGAATCATCCCTAACCTCCAATTCTTCATGAGACTGAATCATCACCAGCCGCTCAGAATCCATGAAAGTGAATCATCACCAATTTTCTTCTCTTAAAAGCCTAACTTATAAAACTGTTTCATCCCTTCTTTACATTCCCAGGGCAAACCCACTTTGGATATGATTCTCAAGTCTCTTTTTCTTTTGCATATCCACCCTTTACTGCATATTTATCTTTAGTACGGCAGTGTATTTATTTATGTAAAAATAAATGTAAAATAAATATGTTTAATCTATGTTGTTGTTGTCCCTTCTCCAGGTTCGATGTACCTGATGTTTGACTCAGAATACCCAGAGATTTGGCTTTCATAGTTTATACCTACAATGTGGATTCTTCTTGGTGATCTGTTTTATATTGCACATCTAGTTACTGACGATGCAACACTGCTGTATGTGTCTTGTGTACATGCCATTTTTTTCAGTTCGTTTGAAGAAAAACAATGTAAATTTAGAAAGGTAGTGAACAAAACATCTTTCTTTGTTTACCAGATCATTGTTTGAAGGAAAACAATGCAACTTTAGAAAGGTAGTGAACAAAACATCTTTCTTTGTTTACCAGATCATTGTTTGAAGGAAAACAATGCAACTTTAGAAAGGTAGTGAACAGAACATCTTCATTGTTTATTAAATAATTGTTTGAAGGAAAACAATGTAGCTTTAGAAAGGTAGTGAGCAAAACATCTTTCTTTCTTTACCAGATCATTGTTTGAAGGAAAACAATATAACTTTAGAACGAACGAACAAACTTTATTTTTAAAGGGTTAAGAATTGGGCACGCAGGCCCGTCTAACATTCTGCCCTTCGAGGTCTCCC